GGGCGCGCCCGTGGTGAGTAGCGTCCGCTTGCGCGCGTGGGCCCGCGACCCCGCGTCTCCATGTGTCTTTGGGACCTGTCGGCTGTGGCAGTCTCCCTTCCTAGCCATGGAAGAGCATTTTCTTGTTTATTGGCAAAGCTGTCACCATTTAATTGGTATCAGATTCTGACTTGCACAAGTAACATTCTTCGCTTCTAAAGCCCGGGGGGTGCTGGGTTATTGCGCAAAGATCTGTTTTTCAAATGTTTCCGCGAGGTTGAATTAATTGTTCAGTGGGTGAGGAGGTACGTTCCTTTTTATTCGTATTTTCGAGTTAATCTTACGGCAAAGGGATTAGGCGGCCAAAATTGGCCCCTTTTGCCGGCATTTTTTAATTAGAAAGAATCAGCCGACCGAATAGGAAGCGTCTGGAATGCCTGCTCAGTCTCAGCTCTGAGTCAAGCACACGGGTCAGGTCTGTAAGGCTGCGCTTCTCTTGCAGGCGCAGGAAGCCCGGCGACACTGAGCCAGCTCCCTGCCGGGCGCGGGACACGGCGCGACTTCAAATCCCAACAGCTCCAGGATGGAGGGGTGAAGAATGTTCGGGAATTATCGAGGCGGTATTTTCGGTATAGGCCTGATTTTTCTTGAGAATGGGTGCTTCCTTGTTATAACTAAATAAAATGCTTGGTTCTTCTGAATATTTGGTGTTTCCTGACTGGTTCGTGAGTGGGAAGGTGGTTGTAGATGCTCAGGAGAGCGGGTGGAGGGGGGATGAGGGAGTGTTCGAGGGACTGCAGGGTTTGGGGGAAACATACATGAAAATGAGGTGACCCCTAGGGGAGAGAGGAGTCACCTGCACCACACAGATTAGATTAGGCAGCTACACAAGATGAAAGGCTATGCACTTTATTTTCATAAACGTGCACTCACCATTTGTATCTTACAAAAGTCACACACTTAACAAATTAGCTAGAAGAAAGGCATATTTCACGAATCAAAAGGTTGAGGAAATTGTATGCCACCTGTTAAAATTTTACTGTGAATGTTGCTTGCACCAGGCTGTGAGAAAGTTCCGGGAGAGATAAATTTTCTCACCTGTAGGGCACTGACTAGCTCATCGCTAGATGGAAATTATTAAAAAGTTTATCAAAATCATGAGCTTTTAGAAAAGTTGTGATTCTACCTGACTAGCACTGCAATTCTGCAAAGTGAACTATACAGCAAAGCACCATTTGGTTAGCACCACTTTTTTACAAAGCTGGGGATTTACAAAACAGCACAATTTGATAGAGAAGGGAAACGGGAGAGGTCCCTCCTTAAAAGGAGTATACTTAATCACTCTTAGCCCTAAAATTCGCACTGGCCTCTTCAACCGTTTTTATGCATCTGTCCTTGGATATAGAACTGAGCTACCTGGGATTTGGAGGACTCACATCATGTCTGAACAGAATCAAGTATCCTGAGGGGCATGTCTTTTATATTTGGGCAGAGACTTGGCACTGCCACCAAGAATACTGTGAGGGCACAGTAAGCAGCTATTCCTTACCCCTTTAGGAAATATCCAGAGAAAGGTTCCCTTTAGGCAGGAGAACCATGAGGGGCAAAACACTTAGCATTGGGCCCCCCGTCTTGGGAGTTTGGATTCAAGTCCTTTTACCAGCTCTCACCTTGACCTCCAGGCCTGTTACCTTGACTGTAACCTTAGCGGTGGTGCCTGAGCACACCACCAGTGCACCAGTTAAACCCCATGAAACAGTTACTTCGGAGTTTTTCTCCACTGCGGGCAGGGAAAGCAGTTTTAGTGTATTAAATGGGACCATCAGGCTGGTCTTAGGATATATCTACAGGTTTAAGTCAGTTACCATAAAGTTTCAAAGATGGCTCTCAGGTCATGGTGAAGAAAAAAGTAACCAGAGTAGATAACAAATAGGGTGGATAAATTAGGTTGTGTGTCCAACAACCTGAAGACAGTATTGTGTTCCCAGGAAGTCTTGCGTGCTTGTCCAGCAGCACACGGCAGGTAGAATGTTTTCCTGTTATTGCCACAGTGCCTGGTACAAAGGCTTCATTCAGGAACTTTCTGTGACAGTGAAACTACCCCAGTCTGGGTAGTCAGTAGAATTCCTTCACCTCTAGGCCTTGATTTCCTCACCTGACAAAGGTTACAGAGATCAGATGCATGACTGGTCAGCTTTTGGAAAAAGAAACTGAGTTTAAACCTATGTAGACAGAAAACAATGCCACTCATTCTGAGTGTAGTAATGAGTATTTTTTGTGTCAAATATGGCCATATGTCATTCATTCCGTTATAAGGAGTTCTCCAAATGTAAAAACTGTCACTGCATGTTCAACATATACAATAATCTCTGGAGAATCTGAGAAATAAGTTCAAATGGGAATAAATTTAGTCTCCAGTGAAACCAACGTGGCGGGGCAACTGCTAATCAAGGAAAACCAGGACCACGTGGAGGTTTCTAACAAGTTCACAACTCCCAGGCAGCAGAGGGGTGCGTGGTTTTTATCACAACAGCACAGCTGGACCTCGGTCCTCGTTAGCTGACATCTGGTTGAAGACTAAGGTGGCGGCTGAACATTTCCAGCAGATTCTTCAAAGACTGTTTTCTCGAGGTTCCCATGAATTACAGTTTAGTGACACTTTTTATCCAAGGTACAAAGGCTGAAACTTTGGTATAAACACCAGGCGAATCCTTGGCTCCACAGCCATAGCCCCAGGAGGTCACCCCATACACCACCCAGCTGGCCCCTGGGCGCTCACACACGAGGGGTCCCCCACTGTCTCCCTGGCAGCTGTCCACGCGGCTGCGCTCATGGAGATTTCCAGCACAGAGCATCCTTCCCGTAAAGCGGCCCTTATAGCGCTCTTCACACAGCCTCTTGGGCAGTAAGGGGATGGCTGCTTGCTGTAGAGTTCTGGAATAGGCTCGTCCTGTGCAAACCAAAGAATCTGAGTTAGTCCGCTTCTAGCTAAAGGTCCTACAGAAAAGAGCTACATTCACCAGTTTCATGAACACTGAATCGTCTCAAATGAAAGGCGCACTGTGACATCTGCAGTTGAAGTGGTACACGATGCCATCGCCTGCCTTTTGTCATGCTTGCACTCAGCACCCTCTTACCCTTCGCTAACCTGCCTCAACACTGAAAGTTTTGAAGAGTAACAGGAATGTCGATGGACTTGCTACAGAGACAGGTAACTAAAGAAAACCCAGGTGCAGGGGTCAGCGTCTGAACTCTGCATTAAACAGCTGAGGGTGTACTCATGCCGGTTTGGTATTAGCACGTCCACTCCTCTGAGATCCATCTGCCTCACTGACTTGAGAATTAGTTACAAATGACAATTATCTATATGCACAGAAGGTGACAATAACCATCCTAAGCACAAACAGTATCCTCATAAAGATGATTCAGAAACAAGACACTCCTGTGTATGACAAGCTTCAGTTTAACACCCCCAACCCCCAGGATGTGAATCCAAATTCCTGACCACATTTAGCAGAACTTCCAAACAACTCACCTGAATCTGCTAAGACTTTACAACCAACTCTACGTACACCCGTTGCATGGCCCAGACCCAAGGAGGAGCAGATCTCCTGTGGCATTTCCATTACCTGTGTCTCCCCATCCTGTGATGTAACAGTTGGTGGCTGTCTTCTGTGGCCTCTCTCTCCAGAGTGGCAGGCAGGCCGGCAGGACATGGCTGCTGAACCTGGCGCACTGCTCATCAGGTCCTTGCAACCTAACCAGGGCGATGTCATAGTCACTGCTGTCTGGCCGGTACCCCCGGTGAACGACAATCTGTTGAACTCCGATTTCTTCTTCAAACTCCTCAGGCACCAGCGTGTGATAATCCCCAACCCGGACAGCGTAGTTCCTCGTGCTGTTCCCGTACCTGGGAGGTGGACAGCTTGTCAGAGGCGTTTCAAAGGCTGAAAGCTGGCCATCGCCCGAACGAAGGCTCCTGGAGACACCAGAAGCCCGTTTGCCCCACCGTCAGCCCCTCCCGAAATTCCCCTTCTTTCCATTCCTCCCCCAGCACTTTGCCCTGGAAAGCAGTCACCCTTCAACCCCACGGGACTTCGCTCCTTGGACCCCACTAGCTTTTCCAGTTCAGCTCATGACCTCCCCCGCCCAGGCTGCATCCCACAGTCCCTGTGCAGACACTTTCAGCCCTTCTGTCTTTCTATCTGCCAAGCTCTGGCTCTGGCTTCGTCAGCTCCACCTGCTAGACTGCTGAAAGGGGAAAATGACCTTTGATAGTTCTTATCTTAATTTTTTCCCCCAAACATGACAGTCTTCCACTGGATACCAAACCTGTACCTGAATGTGAATATAGAGAAGCTGGTATTTTCTAGTGACTGCCTATCTGTAGAGCGTAACCTCCCATTTACCCCCATGTACTCCTGGAAGTTAGACGCTGCTCGAACATTCTAACAGCCCTCCACAGGGCTCTGCCGCCTCTGCCCTGTGTGAGGCAGTTTCACCATCCAGCTCAAACACTGGAGGATGCCACAGAGATGATTTAGCTTACGCAGCCGCCTACTGTAGACCTATATTGCCAGTAATTTCCTGTGCCTCCTGGAGGGCCTCCATCTCCAAGCTTAAATCACCACTGCCTCTCACTCGCGGGCCTTTTACATGCTGCACCTAGAGAACGTCGCCTTGTGGGCTCCACTTCAAAATCAAAGTAACATTTAGGATTGTGTCACATCCTGAAACTGTAAGAAGTAATAGTCATGGGCAATAATCAGATGTTTAGATAATTCTCATATACTTTCTGTATACTGACATTACAAAGATTCCATATGCCTAATTAATGGACTAGTTTCAAAGTAAAACTGCAAGTGATTTATTACTTTTCTAATAAGAATAATTGTGAGAGCACCCTTGAAAGTGCTGCTGAAATGTTTCATGCATCTTTGAAATAAAATTTTTTATATGTTTTTACTGAATTTTAGAGAGAGAGGGGAAGGGAAAGGGAAAGAGAGGAACATTGATTGGCTGCCTCCTGCATGCCCCCTACTGGGGTTTGAGCCCAAAACCTGGGCACGTGCCCTCACTGGGAATCAAACTGGTGATCTCTCAGCGCATAGGATGATCCTCAACCAACTGAGCCACACCAGCCAGGACAAGAATCGAATTTTTAAAATTATCTTGAACTTCACTGTCTAATACAGTAGCCAGTAGCCACATGTGTCTGTGGAAGAACTTGAGATGTGTTTCGTCTGAATGGAAATGTGCCTAAAGTATAAGAGGCTCAAGATTTTGAATACTTAGTATGAAAAAAGGATGGTATACATAATGTCTCTATAGATAATTAATAAGAAAATTAAATATCTCAATTTTTATATTATATTTTACAATACCACTCTCCCCTCCCCTCATCCCCATATGGCAAAAACTGATTTTATCTTTCAAGTCTCAATTCCAGAATACCTGAGGAAGGGCTTCCTGCCCTGCCCGACACTGGCCCATCCTTTGAACACTCTCAGCAGCAGCATTATAGCATTTGTGACAGTTTCTAGGACTTGCTAAGTGGTTAGAGGTGGCTCAGTTTAAGGGCCATGTCTTGTTCACCTTCTGTGACAATCACTTCAGGGAAAGAGCAGGCTGAGGTCGCTGGTGTGACTGTGGACTTGGGAAGCACTAGCTACGGTTCCAGGCTGCTCAAGAAAAAAGAAGAACCCCTCTTTCTAGATGACCTTTTGTTATTTTGCTAGACTTTATTATATTAAAATGTGTTTCTAAAATAAACAATTCAGGTTTTGGCTGACATGCCATTTAGTTGTTTGCTTTGCTGAAATGCCTTAGATTCCCCCTCAAATAAAACTTGGATGAAATTCTCAGACAAGCTTGAGCAGGAGAACACAGCAGCTTAGTAAACCCAGCACCCAATTCCTCTGAGAGCCTACAGTTAAAAAACAGCAACAACAAATTACTAGAATTAAAAATAGCAGTTAATGCAGGTTGCAGGGTCATTTCTCTGTGTTGTCTACGTATCCATCTCTTCAAAAAGACAGCATTTGAGCCCTGGCTGGGTGGGTCAGTTAGTTGGAGCAGCATCCAGTGCATGAAAAGGTGGCGGGTGTGATTCCCAGTCCAGGCACATACCCAGGTTGCGGGTTTGATCTCTTGTGGGGTGCATACGGGAGGCAGCCGATGGATGTTTTTCTCTCACATCTATGTTTCTTTCTCTTTCTCTCTCTCTCCCTCTCTCTCCCCCTCCTCTAAAATCACTAATAGCCCAGCCAGGCGTGGCTCAGCGGTTGAGTGTCAACCTAGGATCCAGGCGATCGGGGTTCGATTCCCGGTCAGGGCACATGCCCGGGTTGTGGGCTGCAGCCGATCAATGACTCTCTCACCATTGATGTTTCTATCTCTCTCTCTCCCTCTCCCTTCCTTTCTCTGAAATCAATAAAGATATATTTAAAAAAATAAAAAAATAAAATAAAATCAGTAATAAAAAAATAAAAAAAAAAAAGCCTGTGCATGTCTGCTGCTCTGTGGTCTGGGTGAGAGAAGGGCCTGTGGTGAGCCTCGCCCAGCCCGTCGTGTGTGCAGAAGCTGTTTGGCCTGACCCACGGTAGTGCATCCATTGCGCCAAAGACCGTGTTCTTAAGAACTCTGCCACAGACTAAGTCATGATGGAACATATGCGAACCACTGACACACGGGGTCTCCAAAAGCAGGTCCTATAATCTGAGGCTCATCTCTCTATACAGAGATCTAAACGTTTCTGAATCACAGAGCCACCCTCTCTGACAATTCCCAGCTGCTACGGTGCTTCTAGGCAAAAAGTCAAAAAGATAAAATCAGGTAAACCTATATTCTTGATGAAGTCAAATATGCAGTAGAATTTCAGAAATAAGAGGTGTTTGGGGACCATTCTTTCCTCCAAAATGGTGTTTGCTATCAGACTAAGTGACTCAAGGAGATAGTTTAACACTCAGGAATTTCCTCTCACTTGTACTAGTGCCCTACCAGACAGGGGTCCTTTCAGGATGCTTATAATTGTGACTTAGGTTAGAAAACAGCAAAAACAAGCAATTTATGTTGTGCAAGATTCATAGGGCAACTATGAAAACACTTTATCCATGTTTCCATGTGAAGGGACACTGGGTTCCAGAGTCTCTGCTGCATCAGCCCAGGGGGAATGTGCAGGGTGCGGGAGGCCTGACGCGTGATGGTCCAGCTGCCTCGGCACCCTTGCCACGTTTGCCCACAAGCCGGTCCGGGCACCTCCCATCTGTGAAAACTGAGTGAGGAGCTGCATCGCCAGGAACTCTGCCAGCCCTCCCACAAATGGCCTCGGCATCCAAAGAGACCGCCAGCATGGAACCAGCGGGCGGGGTGTGGCTGTGAGCGACTGCGTGCCGGCTCGTGCTCCCAGGCCCTCCTCCACTACTCTGACAGGAGATCATGAGAACAGTGACGGCTCCACAGCNGGTTGAGCGTCGACCTAGGATCCAGGCGATCGGGGTTCGATTCCCGGTCAGGGCACATGCCCGGGTTGTGGGCTGCAGCCGATCAATGACTCTCTCACCATTGATGTTTCTATCTCTCTCTCTCCCTCTCCCTTCCTTTCTCTGAAATCAATAAAGATATATTTAAAAAAATAAAAAAATAAAATAAAATCAGTAATAAAAAAATAAAAAAAAAAAAGCCTGTGCATGTCTGCTGCTCTGTGGTCTGGGTGAGAGAAGGGCCTGTGGTGAGCCTCGCCCAGCCCGTCGTGTGTGCAGAAGCTGTTTGGCCTGACCCACGGTAGTGCATCCATTGCGCCAAAGACCGTGTTCTTAAGAACTCTGCCACAGACTAAGTCATGATGGAACATATGCGAACCACTGACACACGGGGTCTCCAAAAGCAGGTCCTATAACCTGAGGCTCATCTCTCTATACAGAGATCTAAACGTTTCTGAATCACAGAGCCACCCTCTCTGACAATTCCCAGCTGCTACGGTGCTTCTAGGCAAAAAGTCAAAAAGATAAAATCAGGTAAACCTATATTCTTGATGAAGTCAAATATGCAGTAGAATTTCAGAAATAAGAGGTGTTTGGGGACCATTCTTTCCTCCAAAATGGTGTTTGCTATCAGACTAAGTGACTCAAGGAGATAGTTTAACACTCAGGAATTTCCTCTCACTTGTACTAGTGCCCTACCAGACAGGGGTCCTTTCAGGATGCTTATAATTGTGACTTAGGTTAGAAAACAGCAAAAACAAGCAATTTATGTTGTGCAAGATTCATAGGGCAACTATGAAAACACTTTATCCATGTTTCCATGTGAAGGGACACTGGGTTCCAGAGTCTCTGCTGCATCAGCCCAGGGGGAATGTGCAGGGTGCGGGAGGCCTGACGCGTGATGGTCCAGCTGCCTCGGCACCCTTGCCACGTTTGCCCACAAGCCGGTCCGGGCACCTCCCATCTGTGAAAACTGAGTGAGGAGCTGCATCGCCAGGAACTCTGCCAGCCCTCCCACAAATGGCCTCGGCATCCAAAGAGACCGCCAGCATGGAACCAGCGGGCGGGGTGTGGCTGTGAGCGACTGCGTGCCGGCTCGTGCTCCCAGGCCCTCCTCCACTACTCTGACAGGAGATCATGAGAACAGTGACGGCTCCACAGCAGCACAAATAAACATACACAGCTCTTATCCCATGACAAACACACATGGAGGCACATACAGTTCCTGCCTTATGTTCAGAAATGGGTGCTCGAGAGCACTGGACAGGACCATCACCGCAGGAGCACACAGGAGAGCAGGGGACTAGACCCCTGCAGGACACAGAGGAGAGCATGGCCTAGACCCCTGCAGGACACAGAGGAGAGCATGGCCTAGACCCCTGCAGGACACAGAGGAGAGCATGGCCTAGACCCCTGCAGGACACAGAGG